AACATTCTAACCTTTTTTAATTGATAAAGGGCGATGTGATTCTCTTAGCTTCTTCCTGCTGAACGGGGTCGGAGAGGGGGGTAGGGGTTTCATAGGTTGGAGTCTGAAAAGTTGGGGTCGTCAGTTGGCAACTTGGTATAAGGATGTAAGAGAAGTTGATTCACTGTGACCCGAGATATTTTTTCAAGTTGGCTTTGGAGAAACTTGAGGAGTTAAGGGGCAAAGAGGAAGAAGATGGCAATTAGTATAATTGGGTTTATAAGGGGAAGTACTCAGGCGGTTAATGGAGACTGAAACTACGTGAATGGGGAGTTTGTGATTTGGTTTTTTTTTTTTTTTTTTGCGTAGGTCTTCACTCAGGTGTTAGTATTTTTTTCTATGAGGCTAAATTTGTTGATATAGTAGTAATATTTTTCTCTGAGGAAGAGGTTTTTTGTTTTTTTTTTTTTTGACTTAGCAGGTCAAGGGTTTGTCGGTTTTGTAAAGTAACTTGAGTTAGAGAGGGTAGTTGGTGTTGTAGGGCGGTTAGAGAGTCTGCTGTGGTTTTTACTGGGAGCTGTAACTGATTTTCTAGTTCTGTGTTGACGTGATACTGTGCTTCAACAGACAGGGTGGTGGAGGTTAGAGCAAGATTAATTATGATAGGAAGGAAGGCTTTTTTTTTTTTCTGGGTTAGTGTTGTAGAAAAGATAAAAAATTCAGTTTTTGTGTAGAGTGTAAGTTAAGGAATGAAAGTTATTGGGAGGTATGGATTTTTTGTGGAAGAATTTATGCAAGGAATTATTGTACTATTACACTAAAAGAAGGTATGGTTATTTTTAGGCTGTACGGTACCATTTATAGGTAAATAGTGTGTACAGTTAAAAATAAAATTGGGAAGGAAGTATACAAGTGTTAAAGAGGAATTAATGAGGGTAATAAGAAGCGTAGGCTGTGTTCTTTTTGATAAGAGGTGGAGGATGAAAAAGAAATAATGTTTATGGGAACAGTGGTTAATAAAGGTCAAATTAGGGAAGTATATAAGAAACAATGGGAAATACTGGTTATACTTCTTTTTTTGGTGTGCAGTGGAGTCAGGAAAAGGAAGGGGTTGGTGTGTGTTTTTAAGGGTCTGTGGATAGAACTTGTAATATTTGTTTGCTTGTACTGGTAGGATAGGGGTGTTATAAAGGGATTGAGTGGAGATTAAGAGTTTTTTAGATTAAAAATGTTGTGTAAGAGGAAACGGCTGTGTCGGCGTGTGCAGGAGATAGGAAATTGGGGTTTAGACGGGAACTGTGTAGGGTTTTTTAAACGTACTATAATAGGAGGGTGATGAGAGGTAATGGATGGGGAAGTGGTATTTCATATGCATGGATTAACAAGGTCAGGG